AATTGACCAATCACAGTCGATTATTCTTCTCACATTCGACTGTGATTGGTCAATTTCTTACTCTTACTTCTTACTTCGTGTATTGTAGACGACGCCTTATATCTAATTGGTGTATATTTTTAGATCTAGGTTTGTTCGCGTCGCATGCTCCAACATACTCCTACTTCCTCCAACTGTAGCTCCTACTCACTCAAACACGCTCGTTAGAGTGAGTAAGAGCTATGGGAACATGTTGAAGCATGTTGGAGTATGCGACGCGAACAAACTTCTAATGGAATATGCCAATCAAATGCTAGAGCTTACTGAGCGCTCAGTGAGCGGTTGTAGAACTGAATGCACCCATTATTGGCTGAGATATTTTCTAGAGATATCTAAAATTACATTCGCGTTCACGACTTGTATTTTACATTTCGTGGTTCGTGATCTTTTTGCCGCGTGATTTTATAAAATCCGTTTTCAACATTTCGCCGATTGCAATAACCTATAAGTTTGCAAAACTGTCAGGTTAGTTAGGAGTATGGGCGATATCAGTCACGCGGATATGTTGCCCGCCGACACCACCTTTATTCTTCTCGGATTCGACTGTAATTGGTCAATTTCTTACGGCTTAAGGCTTAAAACACCTGTTGTAGATCCGCGGTAATGGAATATGCCAATCAAATGCAAGAGTTTACTGAGCGCTCAGTGAGCGGTTGTAGAACTGAATGCACCCATTATTGGCTGAGATATTTTCTAGAGATATCTAAAATTACATTCGCGTTCACGACTTGTATTTTACATTTCGTGGTTCGTGATCTTTTTGCCGCGTGATTTTATAAAATCCGTTTTCAACATTTCGCCGATTGCAATAACCTATAAGTTTGCAAAACTGTCAGGTTAGTTAGGAGTATGGGCGATATCAGTCACGCGGATATGTTGCCCGCCGACACCACCCGACTGGCCGCTGATTCCGGCTTCAGCGAATTGTTGAGATCGGCAGAGCAATTGTCTGCAACCGTCGAGGGAAATGAAGATCTGCCGCAGGTCGAAAGAAATCTACGACAAATATTGGAGGCGTCCAACGAACTATGGTCTCGGGTTACGCAAACAAGCACACAGGACAATGAGGCACAAGCGTAAGTTCATCCCGGCGATTTATTCCCGGATACATATGATACATTTTTTGTAGACTTCACAGCAATTTGAAATTGCTTTTTGCTCCAATTGTTTTGCTGCATTACAGTTAAAACATTCATATGTTAAACATACTTTCGAACAAGAGACACAGATAATACAGTGTAACACAGTGAATCACCACATTCTTGTTATTTGCTAATTTTAAACAAAGATGAAATGATTGAGCAAGGTACTCAGATGATAGGACGTTTTTCAGCAAGAGACACAAATGGCATTGTAACATAGTGGATCTTTTCGTTCTTACATTGGCAAACAACAAGAACGTAATGGTTTACCGAGTGGTTCACTATTACTCGATAGGCCTGTTCTTTTTGGCTGAACTTTTGCACTAGTTCATCTTCAACAGGAAAGAAGAGGAAGAAAGATGAACTGGTGCAAAAGTTTAGTCAAAAAGAACAGGCCTTATGTCTCTTGTTAGAAAGCATCAACAGTGAATCATTATATTTTATTGCTTGTCAGTGTAAGAGGTTGCGGTCAAAATCTAACTGAATGCTTTGAAATATTTGATTGGTCAATTAGAAGAAAAAATTTTATAAATTGATCAAAAAATGCTTTACAGCATTTGTAATATTGGCAGCGTTTAACAGAAAAAACTAATCAGCGTGCTTAGTGATTCTTTAATATAATTGGTACTTGCCTTTAGTTCTTTGCTGGATTCATCATTGATTCTTATATTTGAGAGTACAGTCCTAAGTACAGTCCTAAGTATAGTCTTAAGATATCATAAGTCAATCAGAGAGTTACGATAGCATTAGACATTATTTAAGATGGTCTTAAAATAAAAATGGACTATGAATCCCATCCTAAGTATAAGAACCATATTAAAGAATCACTAAGTACAGTCCTAAGTGTAGTCTTAAGATATCATAAGTCAATCAGAGAGCTACGATAGCATTAGACATTATTTAAGATGATCTTAAAATAAGAATGGACTATGAATCCCACGCTAAGTATAGGAACTATATTAAAGAATCACTAAATGCTAACTGATTAATTTTCTTTCTTGCCGAACGCAGCCATTGTGTTAACCATATTCAGAATGAAGTAATCTATTGTACTTTCCAGCAAGAGATATAGGCTGTGTTCAAAAATTTACTGCCAGTATTGAAAATCTATGGTACACGTGACGTAAATTATAGATTTTCAGTACTGATAGTAAATTTTGGAACACAGTCACAGTAGACACTGCATAACAGTGAATCATTATATCTTTGTTGTTTGCTAATGTTAAACTAATATTCAACTGCTGTATAAACTGTTATTATTACACTGTGTATGTCCTTCTAGAAAACACTTATAGTGCTTTCACGTAGCAAGAAATACAGTTGATACAGTGTAAGATAGTGAATTATTGTATCTTTGTTTACTAATGTAAGAATAAAATGATTCATTGTGTTAAGCAGCATCATTTGTAGCTCTTGGGTGCGTTCCGTTTCTCGCATGATGCGCATAATGCATCGTTTATCCTTGTTGCTCACCAAACGTTAAACAAGGACAATGGATGCATCATGCACATCATGCAAGATACGGAACGCACCACTTGTAAAATGCTTTATATCATCTGAATACCTTACTGGAAAACAATATTTACATAAAAATAAATGTTTCAGTCATGTCTTACTGGGTTCCCGAGGAGTTGATCTATCTCAAATTTCGCAGAAATTAAATTCTCTCAGTGCGAGACGCACGTTTGAGCCATTAGATCCTATTGCAGACACCGACATTGTTAGTTATCTCAGGAATGAAAAAGAAAATGCAATTCTTTCCATCATCGAACAGGTCCATAAGGATGTATGTAAAATAATAATTAAATATCTATATGTGTCTAGATTAAATATCTATATATCTATATACCATGGAGAAATTAATATTGGATTTATTCTTTTAGACATTTGAGCTTACAAGGGCTCAACAAATGGAACATATGCTGGGTGAATGGAAGCAAATGCGTTTTGAGATAATAAATGCCATGACTGCGCCATCCGGCGAGCTGGTGGATTTGCGTGGTGCTCCGCAGCGTACAAAACTAGCCGGTTCGATGATCAGTGGTCTCTCCAGCATAGAAGTTGCCTATGTAAAGGAATTGCAGATTTATAATGATCATGTGCTCAAAGGTGTTACGCGGCCCAGTTTGTTCAATACGTTTCACAAAGCTTCCGAGTCCTTTAACGACAAGAAGATTGTGGATCTGTGGCAAATGGTAAAGTGTATGGTCGATATTCCGCCAACACCTAGAGGAGATCAAATTAAATCCAGAAGCAGCTCCGCAATTGAACAGAGAATTGTCTCACAAGCCAGAAAGTATTTGGAAAATCGATATAGAGATTTCATGAACTCCATAATTAATGAGAATTTGGTGCAGGCGAAACGAGGGGGTGTTCCAGGCACTATACCCTTGGTCAAGAGCTTCGTGGGTGTCAAAGTACAAAATCTGAGAGATTTGGAGGATACCAAGATGGAAGACAAACCGTTGTGGCCGTTAGTATATTACTGTATGCGATCTGGAGATTACAAAGCTGCGCTGCAATGCCTGAATCAATGCGGCACAGAATTCCCGGAATTTAAAGCGGCTCTCGAGGAAGCTTGCGACGATCAGCAACATCGTCCGAGCAGTCGGGCCGAATCCATCCTAAAACTGCACTATAGGAAACAAGTACGATCCGTCACTGATCCTTACAAGAGAGCAGCATATTGCGCGTTAGTTCCTTGCGAGATGGATGATTTCCACTCCGAAGTGATATCCACAGCTGACGATTACTTGTGGCTAAAGTTGTGCCAAGTGAGAGATCAGGCAGACGTTGAGAATAAACTTACGTTGGATTATCTGCAGACTACAATTTCAGAAATATATGGTAATACTAATTTTTTTTAGATAACCGATAGTTTTTTAGATTTTTAGAAGTCTTAATCAATGTCACTTTTAGGAGAAACGTATTATCACGCACACGAACAGCCGTTTTTGTACTTCTCAATGCTGTTTTTAACCGGACAGTTTGAAGCAGCGATAGAATTCTTAGCGACGGGTGCTGGAGCAAGGCATTTACCGCACGCTGTCCATCTGGCAGCTGCTATGCACGAACATAATTTGTTGGCTGTCAGTCAAAGCGTTTTAGCGCCTTTGATAAGCGTAGATCCTGCCGATAAGCCGCCAGCGAAAAGACTAAATTATGCTAGACTGATATTGTTGTATGTTAAAAGATTTGAATCATCAGACCCAAAAGAGAGCCTTCATTATCTATTTTTATTGAGGTATGATTCTTAACTTATTTGAAATCAATCGTTAAATTATAAGCATGATAATCATATTGACGTCTTGCTTTTAAGATGTATGAAGGATCCATACGACCGTAACATGTTCGCCGCGTCTGCCGCAGAAATGGTAGTAGATGCTTCTCCTGCAAACCGCGTTTTGTTAGTCGGAAAACTTGACAAAGATCGCAGACTTCCAGGGATCTTGGATCAATTCCAAATCAATACGGATGACGTGATAAACATATGTGCTGAAACATTGTATAGGAAAGGTCTGCTGGAAGATGCAGTTATGATGTACGATTTAGGTAGGAATCATGAGAAGGTTCTCAGTTTGATGTGTACACTTTTGACGCAAGTTGTTAGCCAAAGAGGACCGCCCGGTTCTCTCAGAGGACGATTACAAACCACAGCGATGGATATCAGTACAAGGTACAATTTACATGACTGAAGAAATTTGCATTGATCATGCAAATTTTTTTTAATTTATAAAACTTGATATTTACGATTATCGCAAATCTTTTCAGATACAAGGATATTGCAATCCAAGCGCCTTCAGAAGTAGTATCTTCATTTTATACCTTGAGGGATCTTATGGTTTTCTTCGATCAATTCCACAATGAGCAGTATCAGAGCGCGCTCAGAGTAAGTATATTTTTAATTAAGTAAATAGGTAAGAATTATGTATAGAAAAGGTCACTAGTCAGTTTAAGAGAGAAGGTTTAAATAATACTATATTTCCTTCAGACAATTGCGGATTCAAAGATGTTACCTCTTCAAGTAAAGGAAGTTGATGAAAGAGTGAATGCCTTACGTCGAGTATCGCCCGAAGTGGCTGGTACATTAGCTGATGTTCTTCTGGCCACTATGACGATATTGTACCGTCAATATCAGAAATTACGATCGGTAGAACCAGGTGATAAAATCGCGAGGGAGCAGCAATTGCACGATCTCCGAGAGCAAGCCCGAGCGTTAACGAGTTTCGCGGGAACATTACCATATCGCATGCCAAACGAGACAAACAGCAAACTCGTACAAATGGAGATTCTCATGCATTAAAATCGAAAATTTATATACAGCAAACATATAATGTAATAATTATATAATGTGTCATGTTTAAAGTTATGTAGCAGTTATATAATTATAAATTTAAATATTATGTTGTATGTTTGCTGGGTATTTTAGACTATTTAAGTATAGTCTATATATTTGCTAGTTAATTTTATTTAAAAAGTTTGTTCTTTTTATTATAGATAAGTATTCAAAAATTTTATTTCTAATTTAAAGTGTAACGAGTTTGAGTAAACTTTCAAAGATTCAACATTTCGATTTAAATCTAAATATTGTATTATATAGATCATATAGATGTTGCAAGAGACTCTGTAAATTGCAAGAAAGACTCCGTATGATACTCGAATTATTTTTGTATTTCTATTTGTAAATGTACGTGATATACTGAATATAGATTTTTGCAAGTACATTATCCATTAATTTAATAAGTACTGAACACAATGATTAATATTTCCAGTTTATATCACATTTTATGCCGTCTTTATTCATATTCCACCTAGCTTTCGTCTTTATGCAAAAATTATTTGTATTATCTTGATGGATCTTTGCAGTCTTCAGTATTATAGGATTTCAAAGATGTTACGGATATCCCACAACTAAGATCTGCAACTTTACCTTCTTTCACCTGTAAAGAACTTTTTGTAATATATACATAGACTATATGAAAAAAAATTAGAATGATCTTTTACATACCGCTCTGTAATCCAAGAACATTTCCTTAAAAGCCAAGAAATCTGTTATCGTTGATAGTACCTCAAAAACTTCACCTTCCAGCTCCGTTTGCTTCTGCTTCTCACTGAGTTTTATCACATTGTGCAAGCATGCGAGAATGGGAAAATTATTAGATAAAAGTCTGAAATTGTTCCTATTATTGATTATATTTTAATTATAATCACTTTAATTGATGTAAAAGAGTGTCTACTGTGAACTGTGGCATGACTTTCTTTAAATAATCCACGATGTATGCCTCCACAGCTTTATTCTGAAATATGTAAAGCGCGTCTCAGAAAATCAGCAATTCAGAAAACTTCGGGGTTTTTAATGAAAATAAAAAATCTCACGTATTCGTTGAATATATCGGTGTAAATTAATTTGTTATCTTCTACTGGTTCGAAAACATCCCAATACTTTTCTAAAAATTTATTCTGAAGGGCTTGAAAATCTTCCTCTGAAAGATCGATTTATTACATCGTAAAACTATCAATTAAGAGCTTAAATTAATTGATCCTACACTACATTAGCATAGTTTTTTTTAAATATAATTACATGAGATGTTTCTCTTAATACTCTAACATTATATTGCAATTTTCATTCTTCTTAATGATTTACAATTAAACATTAATAATGTTCTATACATCCTTTAAATACAAATAAAGGCTAAAAAACTTTTTTAAATTACAAAATAATTTTGCTAAATATAATGTGTATAAATAGCATCTATACTCGTACATTTAGCGAATTTATGAAGCGGAGGTGTCCTGTAAATCTCACGCGAGTAATAAAGAATAAAGGATTCTCTTTAATCCTGTCGATGTGTTCAAATTGATTATATGATCATATAGTTTGAGTCAATGATTAATTAGAAAACTGTAAAATAAAAAAAACAGACAAAAGATCTCACATAAATAAAGTTATAAAATAAGAAAAAAATTTTTAAATAAAATATTAATAAGAAAATATAAATTACATTTTTTGGGTCAAAAATATATCCAAACAAGTAATAAAACTCGTATCGATTAAAAATTGATTTCTTCGGAATAATTAAGTTATACCCAACAACAAGTCCTCGATATGTCCAATCACTTCGTCGAATGAACGGTCTTCTTCGCTCCTCGAAATTCGCTTTGCATCTTCCGGATTCGACAAACTCGGCTCGTCTGAAACATTTATTATGATAAAAAAAATTATTGTATAAATATTTTTTGCGTTATTGAACGAGTGAATGAACACCACCCTCACGAAATCAAGTAAATACAATTTTTAGTTGACACAAACCCATGTTTTTCTCTTTTTATAGTTAGGCGCGTAAAAATAAGGCACTTGCTTAAGCTACAAGATAAAACCGCCTTGATCGTAAACTAACAGTTTCCCGTCGAATAACAGATTAAATTAATTGTTGCTGTGTGCAACGACTGAGGCGATCGTTTTATCGATCAGAATTTTTGCGAGGTTAGATTCTGTTAATACAAAAAATAAAACAATTGATACATTTGAGGAAAAATATTAGTTTCATTTTACATATATCGCGATATATTAATTGTGAATTAAATTTTAATTGTATGTATTGGATATTTATAAATAAATATAAATATCTTACATCTGTATACTGAAAAAGTTTCATGACATAGTACCAGACGAAATCAATAGATGGCAACACCCTTCAGTTTCCAGCTGCAATAGAATATTCGTGCAACAGATGGCGACACCGTTCAGTTTTTCCATTTGCAAAAAGAGCGATATAATTTACAAAATGCGTATTTTAATACATTTTCGAGAAATAGATGCCTTGATTCCAATTCGCGAATTTCACTACTTTTTAAACTTCAAATTGGTTTTTCTCTAGTAAATTAAATTTTTGTTCATTATTTCTAGTCCCAAACAAATTAAAAAACAGGTCATGATATAATGTAAAAATGACGTTAAAATAAATCGAAAAATGATTTTTAATAACATTTTGAAGCTATTTTGATATCAAGACTCTTTGTTGAGCTACTTAATTCTTGCATTCGCGTACTTTAGTCCATTTTTCAAATTAAGTTTATCGCATCGATTATATTACCTTGCGATTGATATAGTTTATATATAGATTTCAGAAAGAAATTATATAGTTAAATTGTGAATAATAAAAAATTCATAAATTCAAATAATTTCAAAATACAATGCAATATTTAATTTTAGCGAACTTGCCAAAATTTGTATCGCAATATGCGTGCATTCAGGCTGAAATTTTGCGAATAATAATTAATGAAACAGCAACATATACCCAGATAGCACATTATATTCTTAGAATATTCTCGGAATATAATGTGCTATCTGGGTACATGTATTATATTGCACACTTCCGTTCTGTATTAATAAAGTAAAATTTATTATTATATAAAAAAAATTATCATCCCGATATATATTTTTTGTATCGCGATTGCTTCTGAACAATTAATTACAATATCTCTCTGATCGAATCTTTACTATTTGATAAGAAAAGAGCCGTTACTGCAATGCTGTTGCAACGGGGAGAGAAAATTCTTCTGCCCACTTACTATATAACTTATATAATGCGCGCAACAATTTCATACCCCATGGAGCAACTTCATAAATTGGAATCTTTATCGTCGTCCGTGCTTGGCGCCAATATTTATGAAATTCGTACAAACTCGAGAGAGACCGCTTACGTGCGTCATGGCGAAATGCTGTGACGCAAATAGAATCATAGAGCACGTCGAATTAAATTTCGATGTGAATGTCGTTGTTGACGTATCGAGTCGAGGCGAAACGATTTCCAATTTACTCGTGATATACGGAAAAATCGTCAGGATTCGTCGGAAAATAATATCATTTTGTTTTTTTAATTCGGTGACTTTAATTATTAAAAGTGATATACATACAATTTTATAATTCGTTCCTTCCTCGAAGCTAATTATTTTTAAATGAGCGGCGATAATGCGAAGGATATTCTTCTTTTTTTGAAACGATAACATACACCTGTCTCTTTAAATAAATAATAATAAAATGTGTGTGTGTGTGTGTGTGTGAAAAGCTCTGAAAATAAATCAATAAAAAGAAGCCAATAAGAATCCACGTGCAATATAGACATTTATTGATATCCGAAGAACACATCAAGTGAAAAGAAAGTCGAAATGACTTTATTTTGACGCCATGAAGGTAAAAAATGATGACTTTTGATTACAAAATTTAACTATTTATTTTGACGTTAAAAATCAAAATAAAATCATTTTGATTTTTTGTTGACTTTCATGTGTTCCTTGGGTAAGATGGATATTTACTGGTAAGATTGTTATATATACAACCTATAATTATATTCAAAAACTCCAACATTTCATGGCAAGGTTTTGGTCTTCCTTGTCTCTTTCATCTGATGAGAACAGGTTTGTTATCTACAATGAATACACGTATTTTACATGGAGTACGTGAACAAAAATTCGTTGACATGATATCTACATGAATTTAACATTGTAATTTTATCGCTAAATCGAAATAAATTTTCTTCAAAATTTTAACATGAATTTTATGTGGACACTTCCATATAGATTTTAATACACATAGAATTATTAATAAAATTAAAGTGGGATGGAACAAGAAAATAGTAATATAGAATTTACGTGAATAAATTCACATCGATTTTTACTCTGTGCAATCCACGTGAAAATATTGATGACGCGTCATTCATAACACGTTACATTCATGTAGATATCAATGAATTTTTGTTCGCGTAAAATACGTGGATTCAACGTAGACACCGCGAACCTGTTCTTATCGAGCAGTGCAAACAAAACCGCAAAATATTCCTGATCGGGAAAGCGATGCTAAGCAACGCATTTAATAAAATGTTCGCGGAAAGATGTAAATTAATCCAGTCACTGAAGTAAAATATTCAATACACATAAATTGCGATCATTAAGATAATTCGATACGTACGAATTCAGTCAAAGTAGTGGTAAGATTACCGCCACTCAATGTAAGTTCAAATATAAAATAATAAATGATGGACACGGTAAAAGAAACCATTGCAAGTGGCCGGTAGTTGCAGTAATAATATAATAAATTGATAATATTAAAAAGACACTATAAAGAGTCGATACATATATTAGTGTGTACATTGAAAAATTTATTAAAATGTTAACACAAAAGAAATAGTAAGAATGTTAACAAAAAAAATAGTAAAGTTTCGACCTTAAATTTTTTTATCCTCCGTACAATTTTAGTGACGGTTTTAACTGGCAAATTAAATAAAGTAAGATAAAAGTGACAATCGAATGCTTTAAATGCATTTAACAATTTGTATAAAGTGATGTAATAAATACATTAACTAGAGTATATCGGTGGTAATTCAAGATTGATTCTTCAAGATGTGATGATTTCAAAACTTGATACAGATGTATGGCAATTACAAAGTTTTTGAAGTATATGTATATATATTATATATATACATATATATGCAATGTGATAGAGACTCTGAATCTGAATAGTTTCATGTAGAACAAAAGTTTAGTCTGCGAGTTTGAGCGAGTATATTGAAAACCCAGGAACACAAATATCAACCAAAAATCAAAATAACTTTATTTTGATTCTTAACTTCAATAAACAGTCAAATCTTGTAACAAAAATCCGGGAAAAAATGTTTCACATATAATTATAAATAATTATATAAAATATGTCTATATATACAAAACATTTTTTTTCCCGAGAAATCATTATTTTTTTACTTTCATAACGTCAAAATAAAGTGATTTTAACTTTCTCTTCACTTGGTGTGTTCCTTGAGAAGCGGAAATGAGTGTGACGTCAATCCCATGTAAGTCTAACGTTAGTAATGAGTAATATATGGTAATGAACGATAAATTAAAGCAGGCAATAAATGACTAATAAGAGATAGCAGTGAGAATGTGATCAGTGATCGGTCAACCGGCAAGACAAGATGAAATCAATATCATTATTCATTTAAGTTGATAATAATATATATCTGTCTTTAATAATTAATGTCAAAATAATATTTACTCGCATTAGTCTTTTTGTATTATATTCAGCGTAGAGATAATAAGCCTCGTCACTATCCTGTCGCTACGTTAAAGCGCGCCTTCGTTAACGCTTGGTAATTTCTTGGAATGGAAGTAGGATGGGCAACCCTCCGGCAATTCCCCGAATTCTTCAACTTCGGGGGACACTGGACGCACTGAATCCCGCTCGTTTGGAGACTTTGGACGAGCTCCGATCAACTTAATCGGCAATTGGTTCGAGCGGTAGAATTGCTCGCGGCAAAGTTTTCGACCGTATAATTCTGTCCTATCCTGATCCTTGAATTTCTTTTTCTCTCGTAACAAACAGCAAAGGAATTAATTATTAATCCTATCAATTTATTAATATCAACAAAATATTTAATATAGGAATTGTATTTAACATGCTAATTGAGTTAATTGGAATAATTTAATCGGAGTTCGGTCGAATGTATTCTTGGCTTATTTAGCTAGTTTTCTTTAAATCTAAATAATAATAGCGTTGTTTGTACATTGAGAAAATAATTGTTGCAATTATCATAATTTAATTCTAATTTATAGTCATTTTCGATACTGACTATATATTTTTACGGTACCAACTATAAATATGTGTAACTATTATAACTATACTAACATTATAAAAGTAATTATAAAAATGGAGCTCCTAACCATATTTATATTTTACCTTGCTTTATAATTATAGTCATAAATACTAATTACAGTCACAAATAATACCAAACATTCTTTCACAAATAATACCAAACATTCAGTGTACATATACACGCTAACATACGTTGCATGATACATAAATTATTTCAATGTATCCGGACGGAAGATATATTAACGGTTATTTAATAAAATATATAGAGACGTATTAAAATAAATCATAATTTTCCTCTGCACAGGAAAGATATGTCGTTTCATAGTTCAAATAATTTCAATTGAGGAACATAATTAATTAATCTTAATTATCTGTACTCTCTCATTTTTATCTGTCCTCTTTCATATATTTTATATAGCTATATATTTTAGTCATCGTTGACGTCTTAATGTTATCTTTCTTACTCTGCTTATTTATATATGTATCATTTATTAAACTTGTATTTTAATTTTTAACTTTGCACTATCAGTGTTGGGTTTAGGCAGTATTTTGCTGATGCCTCGTCTACTGATTGCGTGTTTTGTTTTTTATTAAATTTTTCCGTTGTATGTTCTACAAAGTTATTATTATTATTATGATTCCCAAGTCGTTAACGTTGACCACAAAAACACTCTTGCGTGTCGTATCAAGAAATGCCGTAATGGTATTGTATCAAATTTCGATACGAATTTATGTATCTAATTAGTTGTAATGTATAAGACACGCAAAATTTATGGCCGAGAGGTATATTTTGATAAGGATACGTTAAATAAGTTAAATTAGGTTATATTTACTGACACATTACGCGCGCAATATATCACGTGAAC